ATCGAATCCCCCAATGACTGTCTCCCACACTATTCTCTTCCAAATGAGCCCAACATTCCACGCTTTATAGCCCCACCCATTGGACCGTACCATCCAAAAGGGGTGGCATGTGCAGAGATGGTCAGCTCAGATAAGGACCGTAGTTAGTCACAATAAACATTTAGTGGAGAATGACAACATCCTTTACTTACATTATATTTAATTACTGTATGCAAAGAAAACCCGTTATAAACTAACAAGCCAAATGTACATGATAACAAATCACCCCCACCTCCAACCTGCTCCTTTAACCCCATCCGGAACAATAAAAAGGATCCGCTGTTTCCCGGGGACCCTTTACGATGACGGACCTTGGGACCGGAGACGGGAGAGCAGGCGGTGGTGAGTGTTATGATGTTGACTGTTATAGGAGTAACTTGTACCATTAATGCACTTTATATCATGACTTTTACACGCTAAACATATCCTTTGCACATAATCTCAACCGCTGTCAATCTACACAAACCAACACTTTGGCGCTCTCGCTATAACTCCCCTTTCTTTCCAGGTGGAGCCGAGAGCCTAACCAGCGTCTGCCAGACAACATCACAATTTAATACGGTTGAATTATTTAATACACACTACATCAATAAATAGTATAAAATGTGCAAATAGGCAATGTTTAACTGTACTGTGCAACTCCCGCTAATAAAGTGCAAACTGTTCACTAAAGTGCTGCTGAGTGACATTTGTCCTGTGCAAACCCACATGTGCAAGATTACCCGGCCCGAAGCCGTCAGTCCATAGTGACGAAGTTACCTTCGTCACATTTCCTTCCCCCTCTCCCCAGGAAGCACAGTGTCCTAACCGTTTTGGCTTCGGGACAACCAGTCAGCTACCAGGTTTGACTTCCCCGGCCGGTACCTGACCGTAAAGTTATACGGCTGCAAGGCAAGGTACCACCCCGCGATACGCATGTTTGCGTCCATCTTGTGAAGCCATTGAAGTGCACGATGGTCTGTCTCCAGTATGAACTGCCGTCCGAGAAGGTAGTACCTCAGGGAGTCGATGGCCCACTTCATCGCCAGGCACTCCTTTTCAATGGTCGAGTACCTTGTCTCCCTGTCCAACAACTTCCGACTGAGGAAAACCACCGGTTTCAGCTCCCCATCCACTTCCTGCAGCAATACCGCTCCAAGGCCTACCCCTGAGGCATCTGTCTGAACGGTGAATAGCTGATTAAAGTCTGGTGAGTGAAGGACTGACTCAGTGGTAATGGCTTGCTTCAGGTCCTTGAAAGCTCTGTCACAGTCCTCGTTCCAGTGGACTTTGGCTGGCACCGAGGCCTTGGTGAGGTTGGTCAACACAACTGCTCTTTCTGACAGCTGAGGGATGAACTTCCGATTCCAATTGACTAACCCCAAGAAAGTCTTTACCTTCTTCTTTGTAGTTGGCACGGGGTAGGAGGTAATCGCTTCGATCTTACTCAGCTGTGGGCGGATGACACCTCCCCCAATGACGTAGCCCAGGTACTCCGCCTCTTCCTTGGCAGAGGCGCATTTACGGGGGTTGATGGTCAGTCCAGCAGCTTGGATCGCATGGAGGACCTGTTGTAGGTGATCCCTGTGTTCTTCCCATCTCTGGGTTCACCATGCGGAGGAACTGTTCAAGGATGAGTATCTCACAAATGTCTTTGATGCTGGACGTCTCAAACCTAACCCACTTGCAGAAGAGGTCCTTCAGTCGGACGTACAGCTCACGTGGGGTCTCGTCCTGTTGGATGTCGAGGGCACGAAACCTCCGTCTATAGGTGTCAGCGGTGATCTCATATTTGGCCAGGATTGCTGCTTTGACTTGCTCGTAGTCCTCAG